GCGTCGGTATTGGCTCCTGGCTGGAAGGATGGAGGCGCCCCTGGTCCCAGGTGCCCGCCCTCTCGGGGCTCAGGTGCCTGCCCCCCTCGGCCTCGGTCCTTCGCGTTGGGGGGCAGCCTCCGCGCCGGGGCTTCTCTCTCGACGGTGGCGGGGTGGGGGGTGTGCCAACACCCCGGGACGAGGACCTCAGCGGGGTGGGGGAGTCACCCTTCCCAGGACCGAGGCCACCCTCCGCATCCCTCCTCACTGCTCCCCGGAGCGCAGCCTCCCCTGGATCTCAGGTTCCAGCTGCCCGTCCGTGTCGGATGGGAGCCTCCTGGGAGAGGAGTGGAGGAGAAACTCCTCGTTAGTTGGAGCCTTTGCCGAAGTTTCCACCTCTGTAGTCTGCAGCTCTTCCCTCTCGTAGCGAGAAGCGCCCTGGGTGGCTCAAGCCTCGCATCCCGCTGCACCGGGCGCCTGCCTTTTGGGGGGGTCTGGCTTTCCCCCACCTGGGGTACAGGACCGTCCTCAGTGTGGCCCACGTCTGGCCTCAGCTCTCACACTTCTTGGATAGTGCTGTCTGCCCCTGGCTTTGCAGCCTAGAACTCCCCTGCATCCTGACTCTCCGACCTGGGAGTGGGCCTCTCCCGGTGATGTCAGGGCCACTGTGGTCTTGCTACTGGGGGCTGCTGGGCTCCCCTGGCGCTCAGGTGCCTGGTGAAGGACACTAAGCCCGCACGCTGTCCATGTTAGTGAGCTCCCACTGCGGGCAGCGCCAGCCCCTCTTTCTGAGCAGTCCCTGCCTCTCAGTGCAGGGCGGCCACCCACCCCGGGGTGAGCTCTTCTGCCCTTTTGGTGAGGGGTTTTGATGTCTCCCTTCAGCCCTGCCTGTGAGGCTTCTTCTGCCTTCACACCAGTCTCCTCCTTTAGGGTGTCATCTCTCCAGGGACCAAGAAGCCCACTGCCCTTGATATTTGCATCAGATCCCACACTGTGGGTTTGTTGTCTTCCCGTCTACCCTCACACTGGGTATCAGCAGTTGGAGAACAAGGGTTTCGCTTTCCAGCCCCGCTGCTGGTACTCCATGGGAGTAGGAAGCTTCCTAGACCCGGGTTCCTGTACTGCGAGGTGGGGGCTCTTCCCTCTGGGGCTGTGCCTTCTCTCCAGGGTAAGGACCCTTTCTTGGTGTTGCCTCCCCCAGGGATAAGGTTCTTGCCATCCTTGGTATTGGTACGGCTGCTCTTCTGGATTTGAGGTGTCCACGCCTCTACGTGTGTCCCCACCGTAAGGCTGAGGATCCCTCTGGGATGCAGGTGCCCCCGGCTAATGCTTCCAAAACCCCGTCTTGATTTTTCACTGTATGGGGTAAGGCATAGTTGCCTGGCTGTGTGGATGTAAGATACCTGAGTCTCAAGCGGGAGACTCCGCTGTGGACCCCGTCCCTGGGACCAGAGACTTCTCTGGTGTAGACTTTCCAAAGTAGGAGTTTCCAGCCCCCAACCCTCGGCACGGGCATCTCAGTGGAGATGACTACCTCCACCCCAGGCCCTAACGCATCCTGCTTCTAGAGTCTCAGAGCCTCTGTGTGGCCATGTCAGCAGCCACCGAGGTTAAGGATCACCCTTCAACATCAGTTCCCAGAGCTCCTTGCTGCAGAGGCGGAAGCTCTCCCAGATCAAAGGCGCCTCATGACAAAGACCACTGTGTGGGCACATGACAGCCCCCAAGGTTAAGGACCGCCCAGTGTTAGTTCCCCAGGACTAAGCCTCCTGCCCCTCCCTCCTCAAGTCTTTGTGTGGTGGTATCATCTTCCCTGAGGTGAAGTTTGGGGGCTGCTTCTTTACTGGTTTTGGCCCTCATGTAGGCATGTTGGCTCCTGTGAGGCTGGTGTCCTGCTCACCCCACCCCACCCCTTGTGGGTCCCTGCCCTGTGGGGATGTGTGTTCCTCTTGGGTAAGTCTCCTGGGCCAAGGCTCCCAGATTCCTCAGTGCTCTTGGAGAGCCTTTGCTGCTGGAGCACAGGTTCTTCACACCTGGGAGTGGACCTGCGATCACCACCTTCCTTGAAGGCTCTTGGTGGACGCCCCGCGGACTACAGCAAATGGGGCTCTTTCTTCTCTGGCAGTGTCTCTGCTTCGAGACTCAAGCTCCAGCTTCCCTTCTCTCTGGTCCTTTGCCGGGGGGACCAGAGGTACAGACACCCTCATGATATAGGAATTTTCTTAGGGGGGAAGGTGTTGTCTCCGCTGTGACTAAGGCTCCAGCCTCTTTAGGGGACAAGTACCCTAGGCCTCTGGCACTTGCCCCTTCTCTGTGGAAGAGCTGCCTCCTTGCTGGGTCTCAGCTGTAGCTGACTTCGATGTCACGCTGTTCTGTCTGAAACATCACCTTCCTGGGCTAGGGCTCTTGTTCCCCTCCAGCTGGCTGCTGACCCCTCCAGGACTTCCTTCTCTTGCTGCCACAGTGTGGTCTCCTCTCTGGGAGTATTCTTCCTCTGTGCTAGGGCACCAGTCCTTTCCGTGTGGAGATGCAGGGAGGGTGTCACCTCCCTAAGGTGTTGATTGCCTTGTTTAGGGGTGAAGACCATGAGACCTCTTCTCTCTCTGGGCTGGAGCACCTGCCCATGACCCTCTGTTGGGTTCTTGGGATGGAAAGAGGGAGCGTAAGCTCTCGTTTCACATTCTTGTTCCCCCTATGCAGTAAGAGGCTTGTCTGTGTTGGGGTGTTGGACTTTGGTGAGGATCCCTGCACACCTCAGGGTTGGTGTCCAGGCCCTTGCCTTGTATAAGCTCCCTGGATCAAAGGGACTTGCCCCTCCTCAGTCAGAATCCCCACTGCGGCACTTTCTCCTGGGTCCTTTTGTTGTTGCTTTGCCTTCCTGGAGATTCCCCAGGTGTGGCATGTTAGCTGACTCTGACTCTGAGCGGGGATGCTGCCTTTTGCTTTAGGTTGGGCCTTTTACTGAAGTCCCCTCAAGTGTAAGGTAGCACCCCTACCTATTACCACCCAAAATGGGTCCCGGCAGTGTTGGGAAAGTTCTCTCTGGGGTTAGGGTACCAGCCCTGTCCTTTATGGGCTTCTTGTTCTAAAGCACACCTGTCCTATATGGTTGCTGCTAGTCACGTGTGGTGATTACTAACTAGTTAAAAATGAAAAATTCGGTTCCTCCATTACACTTGCCATATTTCAGATGTTCAGTGGCCAACAGATAAGCATAAAGAGAGTGTTTCCAGCATTGCAAAGTTCTGTTGGAGAGCACTGTTTGCCAGATGTTCCCTTCCTTGTGGGTGAGGACCCTCTTGGTGTGACTTCCCTCTGTATTGAGGCTCTTAGTCCTCAGTATGGGGCTGTTTCTGTCTTTACAGTAAGTGACTACTCCCAGGTGCCCTGCCCTGCACAAGTAGAGTGGGAGCGGCCCCTGGATCCCAGGGAACTGTGCTTTTCACTATAGGCCCCCTCCCTGGAGGGGAAGAGGGCAATCTCCACTGGTATCTCAGAAGTCTTCTGAGCATAAGCCTCTCTCCCCAGGGCTCCCCTGGTCTCGCTGTCAGGCCCTAAGATGTGTCTTCCCTTGGACTCAAGTTCCTTGGAACTCCCTTTTGACCTCAGTCTTCTCTGGGTTCCATGTAATTTCCTTTAAAATAAAGATGCTCCTCTCTTTAAGTTTTGGGTTCCTGCCCTGATGGTGCCTGTTTCTCTGAGTCTAAATTACCAATCCACTTGATATGGGATTCCTTCGTGTGTGCAGATTGGCTCCCCACAACTGTGGTACCTTTGCACCCTCTTATCTTAGTAAGATTTCTGTCTTCTCCCAGGTCTCTCTTGGGTGCTGCCTTCTGCCCCCAAATCTCTAACCCTTCTTGGTGTCAGTTTCTTTGGGTTAGGAGTATTATTTCCTTTTGGTTTAAGGATCCTGCTCTGGAATAAATTTCTTGGTGGTTTAAGTCCCTTCTACTTGGCATTCAGCCCTGTCTGTCTGAGTGGGTTCAGCTCTTCATAGTTTTCGGCATCTCTGCTTGCCATCATTTTCCCCCACCCCCAATCTTTCTTCTCTCACCTACAGCTTACACACACACACAACACACACGCACACGCCCTTCTCTGTGAGCTGCCAGTTTCGCTTGTCTGCTGGCTTGTCTGAGGGATGACCTCTTCTAGCCACCTCTGTACCCAGCCCCTCTGAGTAGGAAGTGTGATCTGCAGGGCTAATGCCTTCATCCCAGTCATCAGCTGTGTGCAGCATGACTTTGTCCTGCTCTGAAAAATCTTTTTGAGTGTAATCTGGGGAGAAGGTACTCCATGCTACAGGAATTTTCCACTTCCTGAGTCAGAGGCACACAAAAAAGTATGTAACTTTTCTTGTTTCAACAAACTTACGGGATCGTCTGTTGGCCAGACACTATGCTGGGCAGTCAAGTGAGCATCAGGAGAACTGGGACTGGTCTCTTGTCAGATAGCAAATGCTTCTTTCCTTTACCAGTCCCACCTACCTAACTATGCTGACTAGGTCCATGTCTCTGGGTTTTTACCAGCCGGAGAATGCGTGTTAATTCCTCTCCAATCTCTCCCAGCAGCGTCCGTCTCTAAGAGAGTATGAAGAGAGTGCGTTTGTAGGGCAGGGAAGATGGCGGACAAGCGCAAACTCCAAGGTACTAGATTGACTTCCTACTGCACCTGTAGCCACGTGCTCCCTCTTCTGAGGACTGCTCTTTAGATACCTGCCGCCTGGGCAGGATTCTCACAGCCTTCTTCCTCCCTGACCAGGTGAGATTGATCGCTGCCTCAAGAAGGTGTCCGAGGGCGTGGAGCAGTTTGAAGATATTTGGCAGAAGGTACAGGGGCTGAGACCCTAATCATCTGGGTCTTCAGAGAGGAGGGCACAGGAAGAAGGTTCAGGACCTCTGGGTGTTGACCAGGGGGAGGGGCTACATATTGCAGATGCTGAGGACCTAAGAGAATCGGCTGTAAGACTCATTGGGGGTAGGGGTTGGGGGGTCCTCGAGTCCCTAGCATAAGGAAGACTCACTGGAGTGGGTACTGGGACATCCCCTCCCACACTGACTTCTGAATTCCCTCCATCCCTCAGCTCCACAATGCAGCCAACGCGAACCAGAAAGAAAAGTATGAGGCTGACCTAAAGAAGGAGATTAAGAAGCTACAAGTGAGGGGACTGGGGGCCTGGACGCCTGTGTCCTGAGGGTTGAGGGAACTGGGAGAGTGGACTGCTGGGTCCCAGGGAGAAGGAGCTGTGGGTCCCAGTTCCCGGATCCTGAGGTCTGACTTTCTTGCTTTTCCCATCTGCAGCGGCTGAGGGACCAGATCAAGACATGGGTAGCGTCCAACGAGATCAAGGACAAGAGGCAGCTTATAGACAACCGCAAGCTCATTGAGACGGTAGGAGCCTAGAGCCTGAGTCCTAGAGAGGTGGGAAGGTCACCAGATTCTTGAGATCTCAAGGGGCGGAGGCAGCACGGCCAGACCCCAGAGTTTTTCAAGAGAAGTAGGGTTTCTGGAGCTAAGGGAAGGAAGAGGCAGCGGACTCAGAGCTCAGAAAGTAGGGTCATGAGGCTCAGGTCTGAGTGTCTGCTGGCCCTTAGTCACCTCCTTTCCCGCCTTTGAGAGCCACCTGCCAACTACACTCTCTGCAGCAAATGGAACGGTTCAAAGTTGTGGAACGAGAGACCAAAACCAAAGCTTACAGTAAGGAGGGCCTGGGCCTGGCCCAGAAGGTAGATCCTGCCCAGAAGGAGAAGGAAGAGGTTGGCCAGTGGCTCACGGTGAGTTGGGGTGGAGAAGAGGAGGTGAACTCTGAGGATCCTGAGCCCTGGGTGTAGGTGGGAACCCTGGCTGATGGCTTTCCTCTTCCTCTCCCTCCCCTAGAATACCATCGACACGCTCAACATGCAGGTGGACCAGTTTGAGAGTGAGGTGGAGTCACTGTCAGTGCAGACACGCAAGAAGAAGGGCGACAAGGATGTGAGTGAGGGAGACCCCACACCTTTGGGATGGGGATGGGCATGGGGATGGGCTGGCCAGCAGGAGGCCAGTCATTTAGGCTCCTGGGAGTTGGGGCCTGGATTCCTCAGGCGGACAGGGCCAGCAGCCGGGATTAGGGATTTGAGAGACAGGATCGGGAGGGCTTAGCAGCTGCCTGGGTGGGGCAGGGAGGAGGTCAGACAAAATCTCAGGGTCCCCTGGGTGTCTGGGTAGACAGTGGGGCCTTCGTGAAGAGGAGTGATTTGGGGGAATGTGAATGCAGGTTGAGCTTGAGCCACAGAGTAAGCGTGAGACCTGAAGGACACCCATGGCAAGAGGCCTCCTGGCATCCAGAGGACGCTGGTCCTAGGGAGAGCACAGTGGGTAGAGACAGGCAGAACATGGAGAAGGCAGAGAACTGGGCCTGAAGGAAGAGAGGAATCTGGGACGAAGCTGGATGTTAGGGTCCCAGGTTCTGAAATCTGGGATTGTAGGGTATGAGTTCAAAGGGATACAAACTGTATGGACTTGTTGAAACCAGAAACACAGGGAGGGGAGAGCTGGGTCCTCAGGGAAGCTGTGGGTGGGAAAGGGTCAGGAAGTGGACGATGACAGGGTTGGGTGTCAGATTCTGAGGGGTTTGGGAACCAGGGGCTTTTGGGGAGATGATGGGTCCTTGAACAGAGCAGGGATTTGGAACTGAGACTAAGATGTTAAATGCCAAAGGGGCCTTGAGAGGAGGGCAGGAGCGAGGCTTATGGATCTTTGCTCCCGCTGGGATAAATGGGTGGGGTTGGGGGACCTAGTGATGACAAATATCATCATGATTCTAAACAGCAAGCTCCTCACAAATGGGGGTTATCATTATTACTGCTGGAGCAAGCTGGAGGGTATCCGTATGCCAGAGGCAGTCAGTGGTGGGTGGGCTCAGTTGAGAAATCTGGACTCAGTTGAGAAATCAGGTGAGGTGCAGATGGAGGCCAAGTCATGGGATGGCACAAGGACCTCTGGGGTTGTTTAGAGGTTTCCAAGGACTCCTGGAGCCAGAAACGTGTGGGAAGAGGAAGGAGCAGAGCAGTGGGATCCCAAGATGTCAAGCCCTGTGGTCCCCACAGGGCTCAGAGGGTGGGTGGACCCCATACTGCCCCACCCCAGAAGGGGCTGGCGTGGAGGCTTTGGGTCTCCACAGGGGTCAGGGACTGAGGACAGGTTCTGTGGGGGCAGGAGGGGCCAAGCAGGTGGTCTGCAGCCCCTGAGCCTGGCCCTGGGCTCGCCAGCAGAAGCAGGACCGGATCGAGGGCTTGAAGCGGCACATCGAGAAGCACCGCTACCACGTGCGCATGCTAGAGACCATCCTGCGCATGCTGGACAATGACTCCATCCTTGTTGATGCCATCCGCAAGATCAAGGACGACGTTGAGTACTATGTCGACTCATCCCAGGACCCCGACTTCGAGGAGAACGAGTTTCTCTACGATGACCTGGACCTCGAGGACATTCGTGAGGCCCTGGGGCTGATCGTGGCACAGGAAGTGAGGGCCCAGAGTGGGCTGTGAGCCAGCTAAGCATGCCCTTCTTCTGCCCCCACAGCACAGGCGCTGGTCGCCACCTCCCCCCCCAGCCACAGCCACATGGAGGATGAGATCTTCAACCAGTCCAGCAGCACACCCACCTCGACCACCTCCAGCTCTCCCATCCCGCCCAGCCCAGCCAACTGTACCACGGTGAGGCCCCACGGGGCACGAGTACCTTGTGTTTCCAGCAGGGCTGGACTTGAGGAGGCAAATCTGGGTCACTCCAAAGTGGCTAGGGGAGAGTAATTGAGGAAACACAGATCTAGGTATCCAGGGTCTAGGCTCTTGGAGCACACCCTAAAATCCTACATCTGGGTCCCTAACGAACATAAAGAGTGATAGGGTGTATCCTGGGCCAGTTTAGGTCCTGGATCTGGGAGATGGGAGGGGCCGGTGCCTGGGCTGCCTGAGGAGGCTGGGTAGCTGGCCACCTTGGGCAGGGATCCAAGGGTTGGATTCCCTGTGGAGAGCAGGTTCCCAGATCCTTAAGAGGCTGGTGGGTCAGTGCTGGCTCCCAGAAAACAAGAACATTGGAGAGCCTGAATTTAGGTGGTTTCTCCAGGCAGATTAAGGACAGCCGTTTGACCAGCTCTGGGGCTGCAGTGGCAGTCAGTTGGGCCCAGGGCCCGGGACATTCAGAGATTGGCAGTTCTCTGTCAGACCCCCAGAGGTCACACAGGTTTCTGTTCTGCCTCCCCTACCTCAGGAAAACTCTGAAGATGATAAGAAGAGGGGACGTTCCACAGACAGTGAAGTCAGCCAGGTGGGTGTGAGTCTGGAATGGATGGGCATGTTGGGCAATATCCCAAAGGCACATTGAGACCTGAGTGCTGGCCACTGTGCTGGGCTGGTGGACACAGGTGGGTCAGAAATCAGTGCTGCCCTGAGGGCAGGTGGGCAGGGCAAGTGGACAGGTGACTGGTGCTGTGGTCAAGGGGGTGGCACAGGTCACCCCCAGCCTGGCCAGGCAGTCAGGAGATGCTGCTGTGGAGTGCCCTGGGCTTGAGAGTCAGGTGAGTTTGCCTGGCAGGGAGAGGCGGCAGCCAGTAACAAGGGGAAGTTGTGACAGAAAGCCTGGAAGTGTGGAGAGATGGCTGGCCAGGTGTGCAGGGCCAGGGGTCCAACTGTGAGCACAGGGACTGGGACTGTCAGGCTGAGGGGCTCAGGCTTCGTGGACCTGAGTGGCCTCCAGAGCCAAACAAGCCTAGGAAGTGATGGGGCTTTGCTGTGCTGATAACACACACTTCAAGTTTCTGAGAGGAGACGGTGGTGGGCAGTGCTTCTCCAACTCCTGTAACATCGCCCGGGACAGGAGCCTGCTTTCGGAAATGCTGCTACAGAAGAATGTTAGGGAGGAGCAGCGTGGGCCTGAGGCCCCTGTGTGGGCTAACGGGATGGATGGTTTCGAGGGGACACCCTGAGTGGGCACTGGGGGGGCTGGCGTGGAGACTAAGACGACCCGCAGGTAGTAGGGAGGGCGGGCAGCAGGGCCGGGAGGTGATGAGGAGAGACACTGAGGCAGATACTCCAGGGGCCAGGCTGGGCTCTGCCACCTTCCCAGCCTCCCACTGCCAGGCAGCGATCCCAGGAGAGAAGTGGTTAGTCAGTCCTGTTGGGCGCTTGGTAAGCGCAGGGAGCCTGTGGGGTGGCTGGAAAGAAGTGCAGGAGGTGGTTAGGCTCGGCAGCCTGAGTGCTGTCGGCAGCTGCCTGCAGTGGGGATACCATGAGCACATTTACCCTCCCACCACTTTCTGGAGTGCTGGTAACTTACAGCCCTGTGAGTAGTTTCTATGACCCCTCAGGTGATGTTCAGAATTACTACCCAATTTCTAGCTGTTTTTCCTTCTACTCTTGGACATTAAGCTGCTCCAGCTAATCTCATATTGAGGACATTTAGGTGTTTCCCACTAGTCCCCTGGCTTCCAACAGATGGATCTTCTCTGGCTGACAACCTAAGTTGTGGTCAGATCCCTGTGGGGGTATCCGTGGGGCAGTGTCCAGGCAGGACTTGGGAAGCTGGGCAGGCTGGAAATCAGTGTGAGTGTTTTAAGCATGAAGGTGACTGAAGCCATGAGGGTGAGTAAGGTCACCCAGGTTCCCAGGAGGGCGGGAGCAGTTGGGGGCAGCAAGGCCAGAGAGGAGGCTGCTGGGACGAAAATGGAGCCTGAGGTGGGGGTGGTAAGGGAGACCAGCTGGCCCACTGGGTCCTGATCCTCTGCTCTCTCCCACCCGCAGTCTCCAGCCAAAAACGGCTCCAAGCCTGTCCACAGCAACCAGCACCCTCAGTCCCCAGCTGTGCCGCCCACCTACCCCTCCGGCCCCCCGCCTGCTGCCTCTGCCTTGAGCACCACTCCTGGCAACAACGGGGTCCCTGCCCCAGCAGCACCCCCAAGTGCCCTGGGCCCCAAGGCCAGTCCAGCTCCCAGCCACAACTCGGGCACCCCTGCCCCCTATGCCCAGGCTGTGGCCCCATCGGCTACGAGTGGGCCCAGCACGACCCAGCCCCGGCCCCCCAGCGCCCAGCCTGGTGGAGGCGGCGGCGGCGGAGGTGGAGGGAGCGGCAGCAATAGTAACAGCAGTGCCGGTGGAGGGGCTGGCAAGCAGAATGGCGCCACCAGTGAGTGGGGAGGCAGCGGGGTGGGCATGGGCGGGGCTGGGCAGCCGCCGGCAGCCCTTCCCATTTTATTCTTTGTTCCCAGGTTACAGCTCAGTTGTGGCAGACAGCCCGGCAGAGGTGGCTTTGAGCAGCAGTGGGGGCAACAATGCCAGCAGCCAGGCCCTGGGCCCCCCTTCCGGCCCCCACAACCCACCTCCCAGCACCTCGTGAGTGTCTCGGCCATCAGCAGGGTTGGGATGGCGGCCTTTCGGCACAGAGAGGCGCTGGTGCCTCACCCCTGCATCAGTGGGTTCTGGGCCCCCCGCCCTTGCTGCTGGGAATGTCCGAGCACTGTCCTCCACCTCTGTCGGGTGTTAACACCCCCGCTTCTTTCCAGCATGGAAACGACATCAGCCTCCCTGCTTTGCCCTTCAGAACATTCTAAAACATGTTCTCATCTAAGTGGAAGTTTTCTCAAGAGCCCCATACCCTTTCCTCCCCATTTCTGTTACCTGCCCAAGGCTACTTGACTGCCACTGGAGGGTCACTGTTCCACTTTTCAAAGTGAATTGTCTCGAAGTCCTCATTCCTCTGCAGCCACTCCTCCAAATCTTAGCTCAGACCATTCCACTGTGTCCGCCTGTTTCCCGAAGACTGCCCCAAGAAAGATCAGTGTGCACAAAGGAAAGGCCTGCTTCCTGGTCCCCTCACCCCAGCTCCAGCTGGCCTGCCCAAGAGGGAATGGGCCCTGTGTCCACCTGCCCAAGGCAGCTGGTTTTGATCAGCCTGTGACCTGGTGGAGCACCCGAGAATCCTCACTCCCATCCCCGCAGCTCTGCTCTACTGATGAGAAACCATTCCAAAGATTGGGTTCTGCCTTTGTTTGCCCAGAGCCACTTTCTCCCATCTGTCTACCCTCAGCCGCCCCTCTCAGATCCCATCTGATGTGTGCAGTCTCCCCTCTCTCCAGCCAGGCCTTTCTGCCCATCCCACCCTCAGGGACCCTCCTCTCAACCCCTCTCTTCCATGCTCTCCAGGAAAGAACCCAGTGCGGCAGCCCCAACAGGGGCTGGGGGCGTGGCCCCAGGCTCAGGGAACAACTCAGGGGGACCCAGCCTCCTGGTGCCACTGCCTGTGAATCCTCCCAGCTCCCCAACGCCCAGCTTCAGTGATGCCAAGGCAGCCGGTGCCCTACTCAATGGGCCTCCACAGTTCAGCACCGCCCCGGAAATCAAGGTGGGCTCCTTGGACATCCCCCGAGCCTCTGTGTCCTGACTCTGCTGTTCCTTTCCTCCAGGTCTCTAGCTGCGCCCCTTGCCCCCACCCCCTTTCTGGATCTCTCTCTCTCTAGCTTTCTGTCCCCTTCTCACACTTGCTCGTTCTCCAGGTCTTTCTGTACCACCCTTCCCGTGACCTTGATCTCTGGGGGCTCTCATACCTCCCCTCTTGTTCCCTCCAAAGCTCTGTTTCTCTGGGTCTCTTTTCCTTTCTCTTGGTTATACTTGTTGCTTGCTCTCTCTGGGTCTCCATCTTCATCCCCACCCAGGCCCTCAGTTTCTGTCCCCATTTGTCCTGACAAGGCATACCAGTCTCTGTAGTTCACATGATCCATTACCTAGCTCACTACCCTCCTTTTCCTAGCTAAGAAACCATTTCAGTCAAGAAAACACTTGTTGAAGTCCACTGGGGGCCACGCTTTGTGTTGGGTGAATGCAGCCTGGTTCCTCCCTTTAGGAAGCTTCCCTGCTGGGGCAGCTGCCGGGAAGGTTGCTGTGGGCCCACTGAGGGGCATCTGAGCTGACCTGGGAGACAGGCCCAGGAAGGCTCTGAGAGGTGGTGATGTTTACGCTGAGACCTGGAGGGGGGCTAACAGCTGCAGGAAGGGCTTCAGGAGGTGCTTTAGGAGGAGCGTGCATCTTTAGGAGGCTGGGCAGGATGCAGCAGAGAGGAGAGAGGTGTCCACTCTGCAGGAGGCAGTGCCACCAGCTGCAGGGCTGAGATAGTGGGTGTAGCAGGACAGGACGGGGGGTCCTGATCATCCAGGCTCAGGAGCTGGGGCTTGGCTTGTGAGCCAGTATCCTGTAGCGCAGCTTCCACGGGGAGGCAGCGTGTGCGCCCAGGCTGTCCGGGTCCAAGTCTTGGCATTGTCCTTTCTGTGCCTTCCCTTCATCTGGGAAATGGCAATAATCACGATTATACCTACCATATAGGTTTATTTGGAAGACTAAATCATTCTTACGAAGCTATTGGAACAGTTTCTGACCCAACAGAAGCATTAATTTTTTTTTTTTTTTTTTTTTTTGAGATGGAGTCTTGCTCT